GGGTCTTCTGCCTGGTTCCCCTTCATCAGTGTCAGCTTTATCTCCATCTCCATTTACTCAGACCATGTCTCCCTCTTCTAATGGTGTTTGTCACTCTTCTGTGAACTGGCAGCAACCAAATGTACCGACTCTTCATTTACCAGGAAGTAACCTTCAATCCAGCCGATTGAGGTCGTCTCTGAATGCCAGGGATATGCCTCTGGAAGATTTGAACGTCCTGCCTGACTTCAACAGCCAGCCACGGATTTTGAATGATTTGAACTGTTTCTCTCAACCTTGTCCGACTCCTGTGTCTGTGAGCCGATCTGGCTGGACCCAAACTCTAACTCCTAACAATCTTGAAGAATTATTTTCTTCTGAGATCTCTTCGTCTCCTAGATTCTCCGATCCAGCTGCCAATGTCTTTTCCCCTACGCGCAAATCAACAATGCTAAACCAATTCCAGCAGCAGCAGCAGAACATGTTATCACCTATCAATACAAGCATTATGTCCCCTAAGAATGTTGATCATCATTTGTTGCAGGCCTCTTATGGAGTTTCATCCCCGGGAAGGATGTCGCCAAGAAACACCGAGCCACATTCCCCTATGGGATCTAGGTTCTCCGCCTTCGTACAGCGTGAAAAGCATAATCTGCGCACTCTCAGTTCAAGGGAGCTTGGATCTAATGTCCCAAGCTCATTGATCGGATCTCCTATCAATTCTTTGCCTAAATGGGGGTCCCCCAAAGGAAAGGTGGATTGGTCGGTTGGTAAGAATGAACTGGGTCAACAAATGCGAAGGTCATCTTCTTTTGAAATGGGAAATAACGGGGAGGAGCCTGACTTATCATGGGTTCAAACCCTTGTGAAGGAATCCCCACCTGAGATGCTTAAAGAGAAGCTGGCAGTGCCTGGGAGGGGCGGTGCAGCATCCGGTGAGGGTCTAACTACTACTAAACCACAATTAGAATCCACTGATCATTCTGTGATTGGAGCTTGGCTTGAGCAGATGCAGCTTGATCAGCTTGTAGTGTAGCAAGTACAACAACAACAACAACATAAAATTCTTTCTGGGTAAGGTAAGGTAAGGTAAAGGTAAGGTGAAGCTGAAGATGATGATGGTGGAGGGAGGAAGGGTTGGAAGAAGGGGTCAGATTGATTGATTGATTACTCTATTCCTAAAAGGATCATTCAATTACTTACCATTCATTATTTTACATCAGTCAGCGAGTCAGTCAGTGAAGTCTCTGGGCCAAAATATTAAGAAAACTCGTCCAGGTTCTATTATATTTCTCTATCCATTTTCTGCAATTTCATTTCCAATTCCAACAAAGGCTTCTTGATTCAAAAGCTGTAGAAACCAAGAGCTTTTTTCTTTTGTTCTTTTTTTTCCATCTATTTAAATTTTTTCCATCCATATATGAAACAAAAAGAAGAGGGGGAGGGGAGGATATGTACTGCCAAAGATTGTTCAATATGTTGAGAGCTTCCTCTTATTATATATATTGATGTAAAACTTTGAATCTGAAGTTATTTTTTCTTTTGTTCTTGTTAATTATGATAGAATCTGTGTATTGGAAGTGATGTGTTGTGGTTCCTTTAATGTGGAGGAGATATGGGTAGACATTTACTACTGTTGATGATATTGTGGGGTGTAATTGTGTGTGCGCCCCATGGAGGCGCAGTGGGTAGGGCATACGTCTTAATGGGGATCGAGGGAGTTAAGGGTTGCTTTGGTTTGGTTTGGTTCATTACATATCGTTATCGGTCTCACGGTATTAAAATACGTTTGTTGGGGAGAAGTTTCTACTCTTATAAGGAATGTTTCGTTCTCCTTTCTAATCGACGTGGGATCTCACATTATACCATTTGTAAGAGTCCAAGCTCACCATTAGCCATTTTTAACTGATGTGAGATCTTGTTTATACCATTTGTAACCGTCCAAGCTCACCATTAACAAACATTGTCTTTTTTAAGGTTTCGCTTTCGGGTTTCCTTCAAGGATTTTGCAAACATTGTCTTCTTTGGGCTTTTTCTTTCGGGCTTCCCTCGACAATTTTAAAATTCATCTACTAGAAAGAAGTTTACACACGATAGAGGGATATTTATAATAGAAACCAGACAATTTATTCTTAAAACTTTTTCAGAGAATCTAAATCTTTTTTATAAAATAATTAGATATATTTATTCCTAAAATACCTAAATTATTTTTCTTAAAATAAGTATATAATTGAGCTCGCCTAATTATTAGGCTTATTTTATGCCAGGAATATATTTTAATAGAAAATTCCGTATGAGAATGTGCGAGAATATATATATATTTTTATCCATTTTTATTTTCATTTTAAATAATTTTATTGTCAACAATAACAATAATTCCTTACAAAACTTATAAATGGATGACTCCATAAAAAATAGGTTATAAAATATTTTAATACTTTTTTTGTTTTATGTTATTGAAGTAATTTATATTTAGTTAATTAATAATTTAATATGAGGGTTTTAAATCAATGTAACGATGTTTTAATTATAGATTATTTGAAATTTATATTGAATTTTGATTTTTTATTATTAATTAATGCACCATAATTATTTTGATTTTATCAAATTATTTAGTTAATTTTAATTATGAATTACACATTAAAATTTGGAAAAAAAAAATTCTACGTACAACCAAACACAATATATATATATTTTTTCTCTTTCTTTTCTCTAAACATTTTTTTTAATAAATAGTTAATTAGATATAAAAATTTAATGTACAAGACTTACTAAATATTTTTAAAGCTTTGTTTATTGGTATAAAATCGAGATTTTCTCAAGTCAATGGATTAAATTAAGGGTGTTCGTGGGTTGAGTTGGGTCGGGTTGGAAAATTTGTTAGACTCAACCCAATTGTCCTGGTTGTAAAAAAAATTTCAACCAAAGAACCTTTATTAAATAATGAACCCAAGCCAACTCGTCTTTTATTTAGTTTTTTTTTATTTTTAATAAAAATAAAATGTTAGTTCATAAAAATCTACTAAGATTTGAAAAATTACTTAATTTGAATATATATTTTGAAAAATTACCTTCCAATTCAATTGCCTATCACTTTGGTACGTGACCAAATAGGAAGCAAGGAACATAATTTCATGAAATGAAATTCACTTATTCCCATATAGGTTGCGCAAACGAATAGTTCTATTTAAGTGATGATTTCAGGACTTGAACAATGAGGCCCCATCCTCTCATTAGTGAGAGTAACTTGATTTATGATTGAATTATAAATAATTTATTGATTAGAGAATGAGATATAACGAACTTTTGATCAATTATGAACACTTCGTGAAGGGTTGATTTGCGGGTAATGATTATATCAATGGATACGATCTCTTAGTGTCCATAATAGTGCATTTATGGGTCTACAATGGAGTGACATATAGTTAATTGATTTTATAATGTTGGTGCTTATAATTAATCTGAGGACCGTAAGGTCCCTTATTGGCTTTTTATCTCTAATTCAAACACACCTTTAATTACTAATAGTTTCTGTGTATTGAAGTGTCTATTGTATAAAGTTTAGAATGACACTATAATGCCTTTCGAATCACTCAAATCAAGACTACAATGAAAAAGTTATAGTCATAGAAAATTTTCGATCTAATGACATAATAGTTGAGTTGACACATAAACCAATCGAACTATGACACCCGAAACTTTGGAAGAGTAACAAATTATTCACCCGTGGATTATTATTATTTTTTTAATAACAAAAATAAGAAATTTAAATTTGTGGCCATTGTCTTATTTATTTATTATTATTTAAAAAGAAAAGAAATTTAAAATGATGACCGTTGGTCATTAATATTATTACTATTTTAATTAGAATAAAAAAATTAAAAAAAAAAAAATTTAAACTAAACCATGATGTTTACCACTTCTCTCCAAACTTCCAATTTTTTTTTTTTTTTTTTTTTTGTTTCGGTTTATCTCGAGAAATTTGAGAATATTGTTACGAGTATTTAAATTGTAAATTTATTATGGGAGGGAGCTGTGATGCATTATTCAAAATTTCAACGTCCGTATCGATTTGATCTTGAGTCGTAGAAATGATTTAATTTTCTCTTGAACTCGTAAAAAAAAGTGGTGTTACAATTTGTTCTGATCCATGGAAAAAGTCGAACATGTTTTTATTCAAATTCCTAAAAGACTTGGAATCGAGCTGACCACATGTTGATGGTTGATGGATCAGCTTGGGCGTATGGTACATGGGTTGTTGGGTTGCATTCGTCTTAGACGGGTTGCATTTGTCCTAGATCTGCTGCTGTTGGGAATTGTTACGAAGATTTTGTTCATGAATACTTTGGTACGTTTTCTACTTCGACTCATGTACCTATTGGATTCATTTGTTCACCTCTCATATTGATACATGAATCATTTTGATTCGTGTATGAACATTAGTATTATTATACCTGGATAAAGGTTTGTCTAACATTGTTATTAGATGCGGAGTAAGTGTCATTTGTATTTTCCTAGAGGCAATTGAAATGAATTTTGTAAGTCAGGCTTTGTAGCGTGAGAATATAAAAGATATGGTTATAGCGATTGGCTACCATCGGTAAATATTGGAGAATTTCTTCCGTCCCAACTACAAAAATATGTGTCTTTTTGTTCTTTTATATTTGTGAGTATGTAAGTGCGATTGATCTTCCACTTGCGTTACAACACAGCCTTTGTGTGGATAGGCTGAACGCATACCATAGGTCGACGCTCGGTGGATGGGGGTCGTTGTGGTGGTTGATCGAGGAGGCTAGACGTGGGATGCCACATGAAGAAGGCCAAGCTTTTTTCTAGGCTGGCGGCTGGTGGGCTTGTGGTTGAGTTGCAAAAGGTGAATGGGCTGATAGGGTTTGGGCCGCCCGCTTCGCCCGGCCACGCGTGTGTTCTGGGTTCTCGGGTCGACCTGATCCGATTGGTTCTAGATCCATTTTTATTTTTTAAGTTTATAAACTAAACTTATAATTTAAAAAATATATATATTTTTTCTCATTAAAAAGCAAAATTTATAGGCTAACAATCATGGAGAAGTTAAGCAAGTACTATTAAAGATTCGAGTGTGACGCTTCCTATCATAAGTATTTTGGACGACCAATAAGCAATCAACACGACGATGAAACCGGGGCTTTATAATTTTCCAAACCACCCTATAATTCGAAATGAAATTGAGTCGAATTGTAAGCTCCAATCCTGCTCCTGATTCAAGCTTATCCTCTATTTCTCTCCCCGCACCGTACATTGGCTTCTTGCTAATACCCACGTTTAATCGAAACGTCGTCGTTCCACTCTCCGCGTACAATCTCGGACCCTATTTGAATAACCCACAAAAACAATAGGATTAAATTGATTGTTAAACTAATTTACTTTAAGAGGCATAGAGAATGATGGCTTACTTGGGAGGTTGCAATGGGAAGAGGCCCAAAAGACATATGAAGAGATGGAGGAAGAATGTGAAGGGCAAAGAGCTTTGAGTAGTTGTCCACAATTACATCCATGGTGCAATTGCATGTTAGGATCTTAGTTCCAACCCCGGTCTTGTCCACTCCTTCCCCGAGCATAAACTCGTCTACTTCTCGTACCTGCATCCATTCTCGAGTATAAATTTTAGATTTTATAAAGTTTAGGGGCTTATTACACACAAAATTCGTCTACTTCTCTTACCTGTATCTATTCCCGAGTATAAATTTTAGATTTTAAAAAGTTTAGAGATTTATTAGACACAAAATCAAAATTACCTTGACGGAAATAACGGGTCGGGGAGGGTTAGTGACAATGTAAAACACAAGCAAAGCCATTCCCATACTAAAAACAGCTCTCCAACTCAGCTGCAAGCAAATCCAAGCATTAGAATCCGAATTCCTATACGTAAAATACGTCTTCCAACACCCTCTTCTCTTCCTCCCATAATACCATTCTTCCTCTTCCTCCGCCTTCTCCTGCTTCTCCTCCGCCCCATCGCCGCCGCCCACCATCAGCCGAGCCTCCCCGTTGTCGGTCCCACCTCCATGGTTCGACCCACATGATGAGGAATAGTGGGAGAGTGTGAAGCGAGAGGCTTCCTGGGTTGGGTTGCGGTGGTGGTGGTGGCGGCGGCCGTTGGGGAAGGTGTCGGAGGGGAGAGGTGAATGGCAAGCGGATGACTCGGCTGGGTTTCGGTTGTCGGAGCTGTTGGCGTGGGAGAGAGTGGAGGGGCTTTGTACGTAATAAGCACATGGATAAGAGTGGAAGAGAACGGGTTCTTGGTCTTCGGCGGCGTCCATCATCGGCGGAGAGATGATTTCTCTGACATGTGAAACGGAATAATGGGAGGCCTTTTAAACTTTTCACAATCGAGAGAGAGATTAAAATTTCTTTTACTTTTTTATTTTGGGTATTAATAATTTAATTGATTTAATTGAAAAATAGCTGTTTTGGTATAGAGTTATGCCTTTAACTTACAAACGTCAATAGAAATCCAGTATGATGTCCTATAGTTGAGGAGGAGAACAAAACACCCTTTATAATGGCGTGGAAACCTTCCCCTAGCAAACGCGTTTTAAAGCCTTGAGGGGAAGCTCGAAAGGTAAAGCCCGTAGTTGATTTGAGCCGTTACATCTCGAGTGTCAAATAAAAAATTGTGAGCCTCCAAAATATAGTTGTAGTGAAGTTTCGGGGTCTCGAAGGGGCGTGGAAACACATAAAAACTATGGAATGAAAATAAAAAAGAGATAGAAACTCCAATTCCTTCGAAAATGGTCAGATCTTTGGCACAAGAAGAAGGGGTTGATCCGTATCATCTTGACTCGGGTCTGATTTCTCTATTTTTTTTTTAATAATACCAAGTTGGATTCTTTTACTACCCGTATTGAATAAAACATACTGAGCCAAATCTTGTTCACGTAAAACCTGCTTTATTTAGATCGGAAATGTTATGGCTCGAATCCGTAGTCAATTCCGTTTACAATAGACTTGAACAGTGATAGACAGATAGATAACTATTTAAATATTTTTTTTAAAATAAAAAAAAGAAGTAAAATAAAGAATAATTTTGGAAGGGAAAATAATTTTGGGATCCCAAGGTTTTTACTTTACACCGAAAATGGCACCATCTTGGGGGAATCATGGCAAAACTAAGCACGCTTGGATTAATTGTAAATAATTATTTGAAGCAATTATAAAAAATTAAATACATTAAACATCATTATATATTTTTCTCCATTAATAATTAAAAGAATAAATAAATAAATATATATAGATATATATATATATATATATATATATAGGGGCAATGATGTATATAGCTTTAATTTGCTTTTACATTAAGAAGACATTATGAAATGCACTATACTCACCCCATAAATCATTTCATCTCCTAAATACCTTTAATCACTTCACCTCTCATTTACTCTTCCCTTTTTATTTTTTTCATTTCTCTTTCTATTTTATTTACATATTATTATTATTACTATTATTTTTATGTATTAATTTTTTTTTAATAGGTGATAAACTTTTTTATACTTTATTTTTAAAATATACTTAAACTTTTAAAAATACCCATTTACTTTTTGAATACTTTTCTTTTTAAATCTTTAAATTTTCAAAAGTTTTATTAATACCATTAAATTTCATAAACTTTTTTAAACTTTTTAAAAAGTTGACGATTTATGTTCGTAGATTGACAATACATATTTTTTTTTGTTTGAACTTTTTTGTCATTTTGATCTTGGTTGTTTTTAACTTTTTCACCCGTATATCAACGATGACTTATAAGGTATATATAGACGGTTTCTGTCTATATATTAACTGTAAGTATTTTTTCTGATTATTCTATTATTATTATTATTATTATTATTATTATTATTTTGCAAGTGTTAAGAACGTCTGCTGAGTTTTAAAAAGTTGAAGAATATTAAAGAAACTTCTTAAAGTTCAAATGTACTTTCAACTCATGGGTACTTTAAAACAAAATACGAAGCTTTCATCAAAAACTAGTAAATACATTTTTTAAAAATTTAGGAGTGTTATTGAAACTTTTGAAAGTTTAAGAACATTTTTATTATTAATTTAGGCTATAAATCAAATTGCAGAATAGATAAAATTCTATCCTCGAAACTATTAAGATAATTTGAAAATATCTTCCGTGCATGTCTTGTGGGTCATAATCTATTGTTTTTACCGTATGGTTGTAATACTCTCTTCCACTTAAACTAGTCGTCATTGTTCGACATGATTCTATTGACATGACCTTGATACCATGTTAGAAATCATGAATCTCTATGATGGTATGATATTGTTGACTTTAAGCATAGACTCTCATGGCTTTGCTTTGGGCTTCCCAAAATGTCTCATGTCAATGGAGATTATTTCTTTGCTTATAAACTGATGATCATTCTCTAAATTAGCCAATGTGGAACTCTCTCCAAACGTCATATCAGTTTATTTTTCTATGGCAGCTATCCTAATGGGCAATTGGATGTGTATTTAATTTTCCTACACACAGGCCAAACTTACGAATATGGACCCTGTTGTGAGCCGAAAGCAGAACAAATGTACTCACAACACCAATGAACGGAACAAAGAGACACCAAGATATTTACATGGTTCGGAGAGAAGAAGTTCCCCTACATCCACGGGTAGCAACCAATAACTAATAAAACAAAGCGTTACAAGTGAATACCTCACTATCACACTATATAGACTCTCACCAATATGTCGCTCAATGAATACAATGTGACACACAAAACATTCCCAAATCCCGATATCAAATTCCGATATGACTAAATCTAATTCAAATAACCAAATCAAATCAAAACTTATGACAATTTACAATAGCCCACCAGCACACCTCCTCGACCTCTTTCTGGTCCGGCGAACATTATCTGGTAGCTGTTGATGTCGGACACCCGTTAGGAATAGCAACTGTCACGACAACATTATGATAAACATAATGATCAGTACTATCGTGAAGGATAAGGGATATCTCCCAATGCTGAGCACACAATAATGTATGAGGTTCCACCATTTTTCCATTTTTCCATTTTCATTATCATTTAATACAAGTCCGTTAGCGTCTTCCTTCATATCATATCATTTCTCATATTCGTTTATCATATCATTAATCATATCTTTCATGCGTATATCGAGGTTGTATTTCATGCTAGTTCGTCATTTTGTATGTCAATCATATCATTCATGTCACACATATATTATATCATAACATTACCATGTTTTGAAACATAACAATCCATATCATGTACATATCATATCATGTTATATATCATATATCATAACAGTCACATAGCATATCTCGGGCATGCCTTCAACATATCTTATCATAGCTATATCAATTCATCAAACATATCTTACCATAACATATAGCATATCATTATCATATTATATTATAATATATATATTAATACATACATCGTTCCCATATCACAACCATTTCGTAAACATGTCGCAATCATATCATTCCATATATATATATACTGGTTATATCGTTTCCTAAACTTATCTTAACCATATCATTTCATGAACATATCCTACTCATATCGTTTCATGAACGTATCCTAGTCATACCGTTACAGAACATATCCTAACCATATTGTTTTATCAGTCTATCATAATCATATCATTTTCTATACATAACCTAATCGTATATCTATCGTAACCATATCGTTTTCTATACATAGCCTTATCATATCGTTTTATCAATTTATCATAACATATCATTTTCTTTACATAACCTAACCATAACGTTTTATGAACATATCTTAATTCTATTGTTACATTACGTATATCGCATCATTCTCATATCCTATCTCAAACATATTATTGATCACTTCATACTGTAAGAGTTATCATATCATTCACATATCATAACATATACCTATCATATAATAGTCATATCGATTTATAAACAATTCACACATATCAAATATATGACACGTGCAGAATTACAGGACACGTGTCAACATCAAATATAATCATACTGATAGTAAGATCACTTACTTGGTTGACCTTAACTACATTCGATTCTATTTTCAAGGTTGATATGCCACACTTTGCTCCGCAAATCGACCTCGCGTATCTCATCTTAGACTACCATCATTAAATTTATACCTATCAACACAAGAGATCTCCGAGAAACAATACTGTCGGTCCTCCACACTTCATATAAATTTGGTATGGTTTTTATAAATAAATGTCTCATAGCTGTATTCACTTATATTATACATTAAATTATTAAATTATAAATTTAATCTTCAAAATTTCGTAGTTTTTAAACTTTCAAAACTAAAAAAAAAAACTAATTTGTGTATTTTAAAATTTATTAGACTCAAAATTAAAAATTCTATAATTGAATTATATTAATATATCTTTTAGTGGTCGAGTGGTTAAGGTATGTGCCTGCTAAGTAAATGAGATTTTCCTGCTGAGAGTTTTTTGTTGTTTGACTTTGAACACATAGGCTGGGAGCCCCTTATTAGTTGAAACTGTGTTACATTTTGTTTAGCCACATATATCATCAAAGTTGTAAGAGTTTATTAATAAATCGAGTGGTTAAGGCGTGTGCTTGCTAAGTACATTGGATTTTCCTGCGAGAGTTCGAATCTCTCAGGCGAAGATCTTTCAAATTTTGTTACTTGGGTCCGGGCTGGTTATTAGTCGAAACCATGTTACATTTTGTTTAGCCACTAGATCATCAATGTTGTAAGAGTATATCAATAAAATCATATTGGCAAATGAAAGTTGCTTTGGCCGAGTGGTTAAGGCGTGTGCCTACTAAGTACATAGGATTTTCCTGCCAGAGTTTGAATCTCTCAGGTGAACCTAGAACCTATTGATTCCTCTCCTTGAACAGTAAACTCCTGAACCAGATTGAACTCCTTGTTCCGTTATTGTTCGTTATTCGAAGGCTCGTAACCTCGGGCTCATAGCTTCGCTCCTTCCCCTTATTGAACTCCTTGTTCCGTTATTGTTCGTTATTCGAAGGCTCGTAACCTTGGGCTCATAGCATCGCTCCTTCTCCTTCACCTCGTAAACTCGGTTTCACAATTCCATTGTCTGCCCCTCTATTCCCTTCAAACACTCTTTTACTCTTCTATAAGTGGTTAAGGCGTGTGCCCGCTAACTACATGAGATTTTCAAGAGTTCGAATATCTCACACGAGGTTATTAGTCGAAACCATGTTACATTTTGTTTAGCCACATAGATCATCAATGTTGTAAGAGTATATTAATAAACTCATATCGGCAAACGACAGTCGCTTTGGCCGAGTGGTGGTTAAGGCGTGTGCCTGCTAAGTACATGGGATTTTTCGGCGAGAGTTCGAATCTCTCAGGTGACGATCATACATTCTGTTATAGATCATCAACGTTGTAAGTATATTAATAAACTCAAATTGGCAAACGACAGTCGCTTTGGCCGAGTGGTTAAGGTGTGTGCCTGTTAGAGTTTGAATCTCTCAAGCGACGCGACGATCTTTCAAAAATTTTTGGGCCGGTTGTTTGTTTAGCCATATAGATCATCAACGTTGTAAGAGTATATTAATAAATTTATATTGTTTAACAACAATTGCTTTGGTCAAGTGGTTAAGGTGTGTGTGCTTGCTAAGTGCATTGGGTTTTGCTGCAAGAGTTTGAATCTCTCAGGCTATATAACCTTTTCTTGTTTACAGGACTAACGTTGTCTTGTTTTGTTACAGGACTTGGGTACTATACTAGTGTTTTTTCTAGTGAGTCCAATTTTTGTTGATTATGGAGTGTTGAGGGTTGTTGTGTTAGATACCAATGCTAGTGTTTAGTTTGGTGAGTCCTAGGTCGGGCTCGAGAGATACGCAGTTAGTTGTTTCAACGCAGGTTTGTTGTGTTACATGCTTAGATACTAAAGTTAGTGTTTTATCTAGTAAGTCCTAGGTTGGGATGGAGAGATAGGCCAGTTAGTTCTCTGATGGGATAGCCCACATCCATTGGGTAGTTGTATTTTTCCGCTTTGTCTGTTGACTCTTAGAGAAAGGAAAATTAGTTCTCTAGTGGGATAGTCGACAACCATTGGTCTGTGTTACAAGCTTAGATACCGATGCTAGTTTTGCCATGGTTTGCCTTGTGAGTCCCTGACCAAGTTCGAGAGAAAGGCGATTTAGTTCTATGATGGGATAGCCCACAGTCATTGTGCAGTTGTATTTTTCCACTTTGTCTATTGAGTCCCAAGCCGAGGGCGAGTTAGTTCTATAGTGGGATAGCCCACAGTCATTGAGTAGCTGTATTTTGTCGTGTTTTAGCTGCAAGTCTCGAAGACTGTGAGAAGGTTCATCAATGAGATAACCCATAAGTAGTGCACAAGTTTTCATATTCTTTCTGGAGCACAATAAAGTTTAGTGGGTTAGTGGGTCAAGTTAGCAGCCAGTCGGATGTTCAAATGGTCATCCAGAGATGTCAAGATTAAGTGGTAGAAAATTTCACAATCCACGATGCGATTGTGCCATCGAGTAAGTCATCAAGGACGAGGACTATTTTAAGTGAAGGATAGTGTCATAACCATACTATGATAACAGTAGATTTTGATCCCTACATGCAGATCGACAAGGTGGTGATTCTCAAGTGGCGTCCATCCAGCCACGTGAGGGATGAAGCAAACAACTCTCATGATGCGACTGAGGAGGACGGTGCATCATCCAATACATGAAGAAGAGTGTGCATTAAAGCCAAGTTAGGCATAAGTAAGGTTGGAGAGAAGACATGATTGTTGAAGACAAGCTTGGAGAGGGTCAGGTAGGGCCCCATGCCATAACCTTAGAAGTCGGAGTTTCGATACGAGTCTCAGCATGTGGCTCACAAAATTTGGTGTCAATCGGACACCCAACGAACGCTCCATGGGACCGTATGGCTACTCGCCAAAATTATGTGTACTCCAGAAAGATTAGAAATGTGTCTAAATATACTATAGGGGAGACATGGTGTCAGCTCTCTACCAACTTTTGACACTTGTGATCTAAGTAAGGTGCCTTGTGGCACACAGCTTCCTTTGAAATTGATATTTCAAGGACAATGTCAAACGTCATGGGTGTGCTAAAATTGCTCCCCAACCCATATGCCAAAGGTTGGTATATACACTCATTATCCGGTACGGAGTCTATAAATAAAATGGAACGGACACAAGAGGGTTTATGCTCCAATGAGAACCCGATTGGGTAGATGTCCGAGATGTTCCAATACACGAGTCAGTTCCAATAAATATGTACGAATAAGTCAAGATAGTCGAGTTGTCTCGTGATGACGATTGAGATGCGACGTTGACATAAGAGTCTTTGGCCTAGAGTAGAGACAAGGTTGAGTCGAATGACATGTTTTAATGTAGAAGCAAGTCAGCTAAACATGCAATTGAACATGCATGCACGAGCAACATGTGTAGCCGAACAAACTTGAATTTTACACAAGTTGTGTCTCGTTGCTGAAGGAGAACCTCGTCTAAAGTTCGACGAAGTCAAAAATACGAGCATAATATGTGTGGAATTTATCACGAGCCTGTCAAGATCATGAGACAACAGAATTAAAAAGGTAAGAAAGTTGAATTTAAAAACTCAAGAACTAAAATGATACTAAAATCTAAGGGAGAGGTTAGTTCATAAAATATTTGTTTATTCATTTTTTAAGATATTTAATTAAATTTTAATTTTAATTTTAAAATATTTTTTAAGAAATTATATTTAAAATAGTTACAAAATTATTTTAAAAAATTCGGACAAATATAAAAAAAAATAATTATGAAATAAAAATAAAATAAATAAATGTATATATATTTGCATTAGAGACAAAAATATATTTTTTAAAATCTTGAATTGATTTGATTAATTCAAAAGGAAAGCAACCAGCCTCAACCAAGTAAGAGTCAAAAAGTATAATTTTTCAACTAAAATAACTAAAATGGTATTGTAATAGTCATATAATAAATAAAATACGCCTTGACGGTCAACAAGAGTCGCTTTGGCCGAGTGGTTAAGGCGTGTGCCTGCTAAGTACATGGGGTTTCCCCGCGAGAGTTCGAATCTCTCAGGCGACGTTTTTATTTCGCTTTTTTCTGTTACTTTTATTTTTATTATTAAAACCCAATAATCGAGGCGTCTGCGTGCTAAATATTGATGCTGACTGTTCTATTTTTTAAAGAATAAAAAAGTAAAGAATCAAAGTCAACCCAAATCACTGTTCTATTTTTTAAAGAATAAAAATGTAAAGAATCAAAGTCAACCCATATCTCCATAAATCCTTTTATTAGTCATACTTTTAAGACTTTTTAGGTAAATATCATTTTTTTTTTAATTTTAGAGATTGTGACTAATATTGTGTATGATGCCTTCCTCGGTGTCTCGAGTGACCAAGTGTGAGTCACTCATTTGATTCGGTAATAACAGCAAGGTACTATTTATTTAGCTTCGTATACAAATTTGTTCACATCCTTCAATGCAGGTTCTTATGGTCTCGTGAGAATGGGAAGTGGTTTCCAAGTCTAATAAATTTTGAGATATTGGTTTGAAGATCGATAGTGAAGATGACTCGGTACTATAAGATGCTAGATGTGTGCCTAGTATCATGATAGATTTAATTTCAACGAGAACTCTTATATGTTTCGTACTTTGTTAGTTGAATGAATTTGTAGGAGTCAATCTTTGAGTCTACCAAAAATATCAAAGATAATTGTTGAAACACGAGCATAACCTTGGACCTTGTTCCAGTGGGAGACAAGATCGTTGTCTTGTGTACAGGTCGGAGATTGTTGAACTTGTGGAGAAAGATTAGCCAATGGACCTCTTAAGAGAACTGTGAATGTTTGCTTAATCCACCACACCTAAATGGTGTGAAAGTTATCTTATTTATAATCAAATAAATTACAAGGATATGGAAATAGTAATAAATGGAAATAACAATAAATGGAAAGATACTATAGTAATAAGGCAAATGTTAGATATTTGCCTTATAATAAAATATCAAATATAATATATATGGTAAACTATAATTTATTACTAAATATCCTTAACACCCCACCGCAAGCTAAGCGTCGGATTTAAACGAACGTGAAGCTTGAATCTGAAAAATTCAAAGAGGTTGAGAAACACTTTTCGCGAAGATGTTAACAACCTGGTTCAGAGGAGGCGTAGAGAAACACTTTCTTGGCCATCGAAAACTGCAGAGAGATCGCCGCTCAGCGGCAATGCTGCCTTGGCTTCGGTGAGAATATGTCTAACCCATGAAGAGGGATTGTCGCTTAGCGACGATGCTGACTTGGCTCTGGTGAGAATATGTCTAACCCCAAGAAGTAGAAGGGGAAACCTAGAGCAAGGGACAAAGACAATGTTGAAGCCGGAAGAGTCGCCACATTGGGCGAATGAGCCAATTTTGGCGAGAAGGGCAGCTGGAAGAGTCGCCACATTGGGGCGAAGGAGCCAATTTTGGCGAGAAGGGCGGCGGCAACTTGGTTGGCGAAGATGCCAGTGCGGCGCCCAGATTCCAAAGGTAAATCTCTGCAGAAGGTCGATGGGCTTATTGAGATTCTGTATATTTTCGAAGAGGGATGCTGATGAAGATCCTAAGATTAGGGTTTTTGCGAAGGATGAATGATGAAGGGAAAAATTGGGAAGAAAATGAAAGAGGCTATGTTTGGAAAAGGTGAGGTTGTATGTACAGAGTATGGCGAAGGATGATTTGGAGGTCAAAAAGGTGGAGCCGAAGAATAATCAATCGACTCTGCATGTGACAGCCATGACGACTGCCCCTGCGGCATCAAAGACAACAGTGGTGGTGGAGAAGAACAGTAGAAGATTTCAAAAGCCATTGAAAAGAAAGGATCTAGGTTGCTAAACCAAAATGGCTCTGATACCATGTGAATGTTTGCTTAATCCACCACACCTAAATGGTGTGAAAGTTATCTTATTTATAATCAAATAAATTACAAGGATATGGAAATAGTAATAAATGGAAATAACAATAAATGGAAAGATACTATAGTAATAAGGCAAATGTTAGATATTTGCCTTATAATAAAATATCAAATATAATATATATGGTAAACTATAATTTATTACTAAATATCCTTAACAAGAACAACATCAACCCATTGTGCAATGCTATGTTGACTACCTTTTTGTTGGAATATATATAGATATATCTGTTTACTGTTGTCAACTTATCTCTTGAATGTGAAATTCGAGGATTAATGTCCGATCCACAAGGACATATTGCGTTTGTCGATCTCATAATAGGTATATTTTGTTCTTATTCTCTCACCACTGTGAATAAAAGATCTCATAATAGGTATATTTTGTTCTTATTCTCTCACCACTGTAAATAAAAGTTT